AGGCTGAAAACTCTGGGTCTGAAAAGACCCAGAAATAGGCTGAAACGAGGTAGGGCCTGCAGGCCCTCGTTTTTCAGCATCCAGGCTGAAATGAACGGGGCCTGTAAGCCCTAAGTTTTAGGCTTTTAGGCTGAATGTCCGGGACGGGCCCTGTAGGGCCCGTGTGGCTACGCAGTATGCCACAAGAATGACCCTCACACGAGCTGCAAGCCTGCAACCCATGTTATTCACAAGCAAAGAAAAGACAAATGGCACAATAGTCCTCATCACTACAAGGAAAAAAAAGAACAAGACACACCAGAGAAACAGTACACTGCGGTCCTTCGGGACATCCGTTAGAATTGGAAAGATGCATTCAGAGAAAGAAGATTAGCATGGCCCCTGTGCAAGGATGACATGCATAAATCGAGAAATGGACCAAATTTTTAGGTGGAAAAAAAAAAAAAAACACAGAAACAGTACACTGCATACTGTGTTACAACTTACAACTTACAGCAAGCAAGCTGCCAAAGTGAGCACTATTTAAAAAAATAATAATAATAAAAAATCACATGCACACAAAACCAGTGTTAGGAAAACCCGAAAATTTTTCATCATGTTGCATTTGGGAAAGCGCCCTGGCGCTTATACGAGATGAAGCGGCTATTGGGCTCTCCCTCCAGAGTCTTTTCCTTCTTAGATGATATAGTCACATATCTTTTTTTTTCTTTTTTTTTCTTTTTCTTTTTTTGATATAGTCACATATCTACCGACAAAAAAGAGCACACTTTGCGAAACAAATTTAACAAAAGATTAAAAAAAATAATCCGAAGCATTCCATAGCTTCCATTGGTATTCGAACTCAGGTCTGTATTTCAAAAGTTGATGGGTGTACCGACTGGGCTAGGCCAGTTGGCTGAGGGTCGATTAGGAATTCCTTATCAATTTAAAACTTGATAAAAAGATAATAAAAAGATAATAAGAACAAGTGAGAAAAATGAAACAAAAGCACACCCCTTTGACGTTACAAGTTATAAGCTATAACCCTTTTCAACCCCCACTTCAACCCCCATGTACACCCCTTTCCCCCCCTTACAAGGCATTCTACCCATGCCAAGTTCAGGTGTTCTATTCGAATATAACGCAATATAACGCCTGGCATTATATTTGAAAAAGAAACCGAGTATGACCAAAAATCTGACTTTGTCTAGGGTAAGACCAAATAAAACGCCCCGGCGTTATTTTCGTGTGAAGCAAGATGGTAGTGATCCATCCAGAAAAGCTTTATGAAAGAAAATAGAAGAAGACACATTTAAAAAAAATACATATTAGAAAGAAAGAAAGAAAGAAAGAAAGAAAGAAAGAAAGAAAGAAAGACGGTCCGCCCTGAAGCTCGTGCACCTGTTCGACATCATGAAGCTCGTCGATGATGAGCCAGAGTGCCTGCCTAGCATTTCCCATTCGCCCGAGGATAAAGACCATCTCTTTAGTGAGCCCCCTCTTACGGCATGCGTCATAAGCCTGCAATATCGTACAGCGACGTACACCGGATTCACAAATGAATTAAGTATCTAATGATTTAATCCATAGTGAAGGACGGGCAAACTGGCATACAGCCATAGACTATACACTGGATTCAGTGGATTGCCCACAGTAGACCAGACTACCGTCTTCAACCGGATACAACATTCGGTCGTTATTGCTGTATCTAGACTCAAAGTTGCCCCAAATACAGCTATACTGACCGTGCGTTGTATTCCGGTGAAGACGACAGATTGTACAATAGTAGATCGAACTAGATTGTAGACAGTAGACAGATCACAGACTGTTTAACAGAGTTTTTTTTTCTGAAATGAAAATTAAAAAATGCTTAGAAAGCAAAAACGTGTCTGATTCTTTTCGACCAATCGCATTTGTGAATTTGAAGGCACGATGGACAAAAACAAACAAATACACCAAACTGGTGACACAGCCCAAAAAAAAAAAAAAAAAAAAAAAAACGTGAGTGAGTACGTCGCCCGGCCGGGCCTGCCCTGCCGGGTTGGGCCCAGCCGGTTGGGCCCGGGGGGGGGCGCCCGGGTAAACCGGGCATGACAAAAAAACGCCCAGAATTCTTTTTTTTTTGAAACCGGGGTCATTCTGCGCTCGGCGAGAGGACCGCGAATCTGCAATAAAATTTTGGTTTTGGTGGGGGGATGGGGGGGTTGGTCTGGG